TCATCAGATATACATTAACTGACAAATAGTTAATTACCTGGAAGTTTAGATTTGTACTTGATGCTGGGTGAAGTGCCTGGTGGCAAGTGAAAAGTGCCATGCACTTACATTCATGATTTCTTTCTTGCTGCGCTTATGATTTTTAACACACTGAAGTGCATATCCTTTTCTTAACCCCATACTTTATTAGTTCTCAAAACCACTCTACATACAATGAGTTTATTTTTTGGAATTAACTTCTTTTTGAAATGACATTGTCTTTGCAGCAAAATATGATGTTGCCATATCAACAGCTTGCTCTGGACTTGACTACATTGTGGTGGAAACAACTAGTGCAGCACAAGCATGTGTTGAGCTACTCCGAAGGGAGAATCTTGGGATTGCAACATTTATGATATTGGTATTAATTCCATGTAGTCTTCAGCATAAACCTAAAATCCTAACATTGAGCAACTGTTTTAAGCACCCAAAAACCTTTGGACTGAACACTTTCAGAGTAATGTATATTCACATATTAGATTGGGGGAAGTTGCAACATTTTCGAAGTTCTTTTTGGATTTTGAAGACATTAGGTTTGGCATTGGGGTGTGAGTTAATTACTCTAGTGAATGGAGGTTATGTCTTGGTAGCACTCATTGTGGGGAATGTACAACAATATTAGTTGACTGCATTTTGCATTGCATGCTGTTTATTGGGGAGTTACTAATTCTGATTTCATGTTGTAATTTTAATATCTCAGGAAAAGCAAGTTGATCTTTTACCAAAGTTGAAGGAGAATGTCAGCACTCCAGAAGGCGTTCCACGCCTTTTTGATTTAGTTAGAGTTAAGGATGAGAGAATGAAACTTGCATTCTTTGCAGCATTGGGAAATACCATTGTAGCTAAAGATCTTGACCAGGTATATTCCAATTTCCACATGTATCAATCTCACCGTCTCTGTTCAGTTAAGCCTAATTTTGCATAGCATGATTTTCGTGCTTCTTAAGTTTGCATAATGTAAAACCCAAAACAAATATGAAAAAGGTCTGAAAGAATGTTGAACATAATAATAAGGGTAGCTGGCAAGATTATTCCAAGATCTAGGGGTGGCTTTTCTTCATGGGGCATTTTAGAACATATGAGTGATTTTGACATAGAGGGGTAAATGATTACCACTTCATAGGCAGTGATCTCTTACATTTTTTTTAAAGTAGTTCGAATCAGATTACATTTGAACTGCATTTTCTAATACAAATGCAATCAGTGATCCTATGTGGCTTACTTTACATTCCAATTAAGTTTCATTTTAGTTTGGCAAGCAATTAAATAGCAATCTATTTTCAATTTTAGGCGACACGCATTGCATATGGCGGTAACAGAGAATTTCGACGAGTGGTAACACTTGATGGTGCACTATTTGAAAAATCTGGTACTATGAGCGGTGGGGGTAGTAAGCCGCGCGGTGGTAAGATGGGCACTTCTATTCGTGCCGCCAGTGTTTCTGGGGAAGCTGTTGCAAATGCTGAGAAGGAGCTCGCAGCCATGGTTGATTCACTAAATAACATCCGCCAACAAATTGCTGATGCAGTGCGGAGATATCAAGGCTCAGAAAAAGCAGTTGCACGCTTGGAGATGGAATTAGCTAAATGCCAGAAAGAGGTGATTCTTAGGCCCCGTTTGGGATTGCTTTTTTTCGCCAAAAACTTACTTCACTTTAAAGTTAAGCAGTTTAAGGTGTTTGGTAAAAAGAAAATATCCCGATTATTTTAAAAGCAATGGCCTTTTGACAGCAGCTTTTAAAAGCAGACTTTGGGTTGCTTTTCAAAGCTGCTTTCAAAAGAAGCAGAGATGAACATTTAATGAATTTTTTTAATAGGTTGTATATATTTGAGAAGAATTTCTTCAATAAAAGTTTTAATTTTGAACAGATCGACAGTTTGAATTCACAACATAGTTATCTTGAGAAACAAATTGGTTCCCTGGAGGCTGCATCAGAGCCGAAGAAGGATGAGCTTGATCGGCTAGGTGAACTAAAGAATATTATTTCTCTTGAAGAAAAGGAGATGGATAAACTTACACAAGGGTCTAAGCAGCTGAAGGAGAAGGTGAGGAACTCTTTTATGACTTTTGTCCTTGCAAGTAGCAGCTAATCATGTTTGGTAACTGAACAACCAAACACAGTACACGCACTCACTCACAGGCTGAGTTTGTGCTTTATCTTCTGGTCTACCATGTTTCAATTATAGAATTCTGAGAACGGATGGAACTATAAACTAGTTATCACGTACACAATGCATACACACATTATTTGATTTGATTTGATTTTTTTTGTTTTTTGGGTTTTATTGACTGATTTCTGGTTGTCTCTAGGCCTTGAAGCTACAGAGTAATATAGAAAATGCTGGTGGTGAAAGACTAAAAGCACAGAAGTTAACAGTCAATAATATTCAGTCTGTAAGTATTTGCATCACTATGAAATATCTAAACTACTGTAGTGGGGTGTCTGTTGAATCTGTCCTAATTCGTGCAACTTAATTTCCAGGTTATTGATCAAAAGAACACTGAGATTAACCGCCGCAAAGTCCAAATTGAGACTGGCCAGAAAACACTAAAGAAGCTGACAAAGGTGATTGAAGAATCGAACAATGAGAAAGAACGACTTGAGAAGGAGAAGGAAAAATTGTCTGACAAATTCAAAGATATAGAACAGAAGGCGTTTAAAGTTAAAGAGAAATACGAGGAAATACAGAAGGTTTACTTTTATAATTACTCAATTTCTATGCACCAGGGTAATATTGAAAAAGAAAATGTGTCTTACTGCTATATAATTTTGTTATATCCTGTGCAGCTGATTGATAAACATAGGGATGTGTTGGATAAAGCGAAATCTGACTATAACAAGATGAAAAGGACTGTGGATGACTTGCGGGCATCAGAGGTACTATGCTGAAAAATGTGTATTTTTACTGTGTCATTCTATAGTGCCAAAATTAATAACTGGCACTTAGCAGTAATTGGTCACTTTCCGTCTTCTTTGATCATGAATACTACTTGTACTGCACAGTACCAAATCTGGTACCTTAGAATTCTGCTGTTACTCTTTTTTGTATATATCAGGTGAGGTTGTTTTTCCCCATTAACACCATCAACAATTACTTGGTGATGTCACAGGTTGATGCTGACTTTAAATTACAAGATATGAAGAAGCTAGGAAAGGAGCTGGAGTTGAAGGAGAAGGGTTACAAGAAAAGGCTTGCCGACTTGCAAACTGCCCTTATAAAGCATATGGAACAGTATGTGGATTTCAGAAAATACTGGTTTAGAATGGTTTATTGAACATTGTAATTAACACTATCTCTTGCTTGCAGAATTCAGAAAGACTTGGTGGACTCTGAAAAGCTTCAAGCAACTCTGGCAGATGAAGTCCTAAATAACCTTTGTGACCTTAAAAGGGCCCTTGAAATGGTAGCACTTCTTGAAGCGCAATTGAAAGAGATGAATCCGAATCTTGATTCAATTGCAGAGTATGGTTTCTCTTCATTTTCAAATATATTTATGATTTGACTTGTATACTGCATAGTTCTTCTAATTGCTTATTTTAATAGGTATCGGAGAAAGGTGTCATCATATAATGAACGAGTTGAGGATCTTAACATGGTCACTCAACAGCGTGATGACATAAAGAGGCAGTATGATGAGTGGAGAAAGAAGAGGCATGACACCTCTCTGTTTATATGTGTTCTGTATTTTTTTTAAGTTGTAACTCTTATTCATTTGAAATTATTATGATTTTAGGTTGGATGAGTTCATGGCAGGATTTAATGCAATCTCTTTGAAGTTAAAGGAAATGTATCAGGTTTCTCTCTCTCTCTCTCTCTCTCTCTCTCCTTGGTTTTGATGGATCTATATTTCTACCTTCCATGCTGTCTACAAGTGAGCTTGTTGAACAGTTTGAATTAGCACAGGCATTGCTTGTGCCACTTGTACGCTGGTATCAAATGGTGTTGTACTAATTGGAGAATGCGTTTGATTTTACCTTTAAATGCATGATTCCTTATCTTTTTTGCTTCTGTTATTTATAGATGATCACGCTGGGAGGTGATGCAGAACTTGAGCTAGTGGACTCCCTGGATCCTTTCTCTGAAGGTGTTGTTTTCAGCGTCAGACCGCCGAAGAAGAGTTGGAAGAATATTGCAAATTTATCTGGTGGTGAAAAGGTACTGTGAATTTTTCTCACCCGCTGTTTCTTGATTTCCACAACAGCCAATAAAACCTATCTATACTATAATATGAAAGATATAATATAATCTTTGGTTCTTAACTGCTTGCAGACATTGAGCTCGTTAGCTCTTGTTTTTGCACTGCATCATTACAAGCCTACCCCTCTTTATGTAATGGATGAAATTGATGCCGCTCTAGGTACTTTTTGTTGAATTGTTGAGCTAAATTCCAATTTTTTTCATATCAATTTATGAACACCCCCCCTCTCTTTTTCGGGGGTACTGCCAACATTCGTATTTATGGTTCATATGGCCTTGCAGACTTCAAGAATGTCTCTATTGTGGGCCATTACGTGAAGGACCGGACAAAGGATGCACAGTTCATAATCATAAGGTTGGTTAATTGCTCTCTGTGGAAGATTATAACTGGAAATCACTGGAATTATGTTAATAATTGAAGCTGGTTGTTTTACATAATGTATTGTGCCATGTGCAGCCTTAGGAACAATATGTTTGAGTTGGCGGATCGACTGGTTGGGATATACAAAACAGATAATTGCACAAAGAGCATCACCATCAATCCAGGAAGTTTTGTGGTCTGCGAAAACGCTGCTTGACACAATTCTTTTAGCATCAGGCGTGTATATAAGTACATATTTTTTTTTTATTAGAGTATTTGGTTTATGCTATGTATTGGCAATGACATGTTGCTTGGTATTTAAAACAAAAACACGAACTTGTAATATAGAGATTCTTGGATTTTCCCATATGATTAGGTTTGATATGTGAAACCCAAAATTTTCAAGCTGAATCGAGAGGGTCTTTGCAGGGAACTTGTCCATTGTCGCTCTTCATTCGACAAAGCTTGAATGCAAAAGAGCGTTGTGGTGGTGGTGATACTGGCTGCGTCGGGTTATCACTGACCCGAATGAAGTTGTAGGACCATGACCCAAGTAGGGTTCCTATCACTGGTCCAACGATGTAAACCCAGATTCCCTTGTAGTATGCGCTTGCAATTGCTGGGCCTATTGTCCTGGCAGGGTTCATGGATCCACCTGATATTGGTCTGATTTTTCACTAAACTCCTTGTTAGCTGGTATAATAACTCACTCTTTTATCTCTAAGGCAAAAAGTTTTAGCAAGTTTACGTACAAGTAATGGGAATCAAAAGAAAGGGAATGATTTTCATTCCCGACTTCTCTATAGTTAATTACACATAAGAAATTATTTAATATGCATGCTCTACCTTAAAATTCTTATTCATTTACTCAAAAATTAGGAATTGAATCAACTAGGAGTGAGTAGTTGATTCAATTCACAAATTCTTTGTATATCATATTCCCTTTCTTTCTATTCCCATTACGTATAAGTAAACATAAGTAACTTTATGCTTACCCAGCAAAGATTGAAGTTATGCAAACTGCGGAGCCAACTGCTATACCTGCCAGCTCTCCTATCTGTTTTATTTTTTAAATTTTAAATTAAAGAGTTGAAAATTCATGGCAACAGAAAGGAGAAAAGAATGGGATGTAATATGTACAGCTTTGGTATCGGTTGCCACTGCTGAAGCGATGAACATCATGGAGAATGTCATGACAATTTCTGCGATCAAAGCTTGAAAGTCTGATCCAGAAGGGGATGTGGTGCCAACATGTTTGATTGGATGCAATAGCACAGAAAGCGTAAATGAGGCAGATATGGATCCTGCTAGTTGAGCTACCCAATAGATTGGGACCTGAAAGAAAGCATTGAAGATTACACACACAGAAAGGTCCACGAATTTTTGTGGTACAATGCTATTATTATGGTATATATTCCTAAACCCACTACCATAAACTAAACTTGGGGTACTTTGCTGAAAACTGGACCAAATTCTTTTTACCCCATGCCTCCCCCAAAAAAACCCTTTTTGGGAATGTAATCATTTTGAATTTATTTCCAAATATCACAAATGATATTTAAAATGCAATTCTCCGACATTACTCTAATTTACAGGAAGGGGTATTCGAAAATGAATATGAGGGACCGAGAGTCCATTATCCTGGCCAACTAGCTTAACCCACTTATAGAGAGGATTCACTCAATTAACAACATTGTTGCTTTCTCCTATCTTCTCTTTCCAATCTCAATTTATTAAAATTGTTTTCATAAGATAATATCCCAATTATTTTCATTATTCATTTAAGTTAGTTGAGTTTTGTGGCCAAATGTGACTACAGTCTACAGTGGATAACATCGTGGGTCATGGGCCCAAATGAGGTTTGGCCTGGGCCCTACGTAAGCATCTATCATATCATCTGAGTACCATGGGCCTGTCTCCAGATGTGCATGGCATTGGACACACATAATTGAATTCCGACAGAAGAAAAAAAAACCGCATAGATCATAACAAAAATAGAACTACATGGGGATCTCAGAAGGGTAGCTGTAGGTACCTGTTTCCATGGAAAATGCCTAACAGCAGCAAAAGCTAGAGTGACGGCAGGGTTCATGTGTGCCCCAGAGATGTGGCCAACCGCATAGATCATCACGGTCACTACCAGCCCTCCTGCAATTGAAGCTCCAAGCCTTGACACTTTGTGTTCATCGCTGGCAGCAAGAGCAGCCGAACCACATGTCACAAACACCAACATGTACGTGGCTATCATCTCCGCCACCACCTGCATGAAATGCATACACGTTAATTAAGTTGAACAATTTCAGAAGATGAAAACGAAACAAAAACCAAAAAGGAGGGACAAATATATCACAGACAACATTGTACCTACCTTTCTGAAAAAACCAGGTGGGTAATATTGTTGTTCAAATGTTGGATTTTGTGATATGGGATGGTTTTCCTGCACTGAGACTAACTCGTTTTTGTTGTGGTTTCCAGGCTCTGGATGTTTTGTGGCCATTTTTTGATTCAGAAGAATTAAGAAGCTGGAATTTGAATAAATATACTACTGGTGATGGGAATTAAGGAATTGGAGGAGAGAGTGATCAAGTGCCAAGATTGCAGGAGCTCATATGCCCTCAGGCTGGTTTGGTAGAGAAGATTTTATAGTAGAGATATCACTTTAAGTTAATATATAGTCCAACAATTTAGTGCCACAGTGGAGTTTTGTTAGATAAAAAGAAGAGAAAACATAAGGTTGCAGAAAGTAACAGGATTCAATAATGAGATCCCTCAAATAATTTATTTGAGGAATACCTTTTAGAGTCCCATACGAATTTGTTTTCAACTATTCAAGCCATCTATTTTTAAAGTCTACATTTATAGATCATCCCTGCAAAAAATTAGACAAATTGAAAACCGTTTCGACATCCAATTGTGTTATGCAAAATCAATGAATACAGTGCTTCAAGAAAGTACTAAAATTTCAATAATTCAATTGAGTGGTCAAATGATATCGGATTCAAGTGATTTAGAAATTATCTTTGAATGAATACCTACAAAATAGATAATTTGGATTAGTAAAATACAATACGGAGAGGGCTTTACAAGGATATCCCTCAATATAAGCTCTTTGTATATATATATATATATAGTTGTAGATAGGTTAATTAACTTTGGGTTTTGCTTTAAAAATATCTTGTCATCTTGTTTTGTTTGATTCATATGCCTACAACTTTGTTTGGTATTTCTGGTTAACAAGTGATGATATCCATGAGATGAGCGCATGGTCAAGGAAAAGCGACTGCCCAAGTCTCCTCATTAGGTCGCCCAAAAGAATATTTTGTGTCATTCGTTTTAGTCTTCATGTCAACTACTTACTTTCTATACATATGTAAGTGTAGGTGATACAAATTATTCAAATTCTTCATGTGTGTTGATTTCTAATACATATCTTGATGGGAAAGATCATCATCTCGCCTTGTTCTTTGTGAACCTTTGTTTTGTTTATCTTATTTCTTAATACATATCTCGTCTTTAGAAAAAGGTCAGTGATATTTGCACTTAATTATTTGAGTGCCAACAAATTATGAGATTTATTAATTTTAAAGTGCATGGATCTAAATGAGTGCTGATAACTTTACCCTAGAAAGACTGATGAGAATAATCCTCTACAACTCTTCTATCTACTTCTTTCTTATATCTCCAATGAAACTGTCCCATTTATTTAATCAAACAGAAAAGTTGGTACTAATAAATGAGCACTTGTTAGCTAAAAACAAACATCAACATGGTTTATAGCCTACTAGAAACTTTAAGGTAAGCGGTTTTAGGTTTGAATCTTCATGACACATTGTACGTGCCTTAACTATTACTTGTATTAAAAAATAGAAAAACAAAACTAACAATATTTGTTTGGTTAGTTGCAGTTTTAGTAATCATATGCGGCTCCCAAAATTCAAGAGGCCCAAAACGAAACAAGAAAAAGAAGCCCACGGACAATCAACCTGACCTGCCCATCACCAGTCCTGGATCATATTCATATTTACCCGAGTTTTTTTTTTGGTTGGGATCAATAGTTTGGCCAAGTTTGAGATACAGAGGCGGTGGACATAAGTGGCCACTTGATATTAAATATTGTTTTGTGGATATACATTATCATTAAACACGTGGGCGTCTAGATTTGGCCCCAGGAATGTTTGAAAGACCAAAGAAATAGTTAGTTTACAAGTTTAGTCTATTCAACCATTCTCCTAACTTGACCCGCTACATAATACATATAATGACGAAAAACAAAATCTGAGTGGTTGAAGGCTGAAGTTCGAAAAAAATATTAAGATACATGCGTATATACAATGAATAAATGCTAATATCAGTCGTTTATGCTTTTATCACAAATGGTTTTTCAGGTTTACAAAATTATTACGAATCGTCCTTCAAATTTTTTTGTAACACTAATAGTCCTTCAAGTTATCATCTACCCATCAAAATAGTCATTCATATTAATTTCTGTCAAAACTGATGTTAAAAAAATCTCGTGCAATCACATGATTGCTTTTTGAATGATAATCTCATCGTTCCACTCAACCCTCATCACCCTTTCCCTCCATTTCCTCCTCGGTCCCTCCATTTTGGCGCTCTAAACTGCAGTATATAACATTTTCCCTCCATTTCCTCCTTGGTCCTCTCTCTCTATTTGGGGTTTCCAATTTGCGAAATTTGGATTTTTTGGGTATTTGATTGATAAAACTGATCTGCAAAAGGAATATCTGGGTTCATAAAGTCAAATAGGCATTATTCTTCTTACAAGAGTGACTAGATGGATAAGTCAAAGGAGTTTTGAAAAGGGGGGAAACAGCCAAAGTATACAGGTTAGTTTTTTAATCTTTGTTACAGTGTAAACTACAGCTTGTCTACAAATGTGACTTTGGGTTGGAAAATAATAAAAGCCATATAGGTTATAGCCCAAGTTAGCTTGCGGTTGGATCCGTTCTTGGTAAGAATTATTCTGATGGGTAGATGATAACTTGAAGGAGTATTAATGTCACAAAAAAACTGAAAGATAATTCGTGATAATTTTGTAAACCTGAAGGATCATTTGTGATAAAAAGCGTATTTTGTTTTGAAATACAAATGAAAAGTGAATATTAATGTTATTAAACTAATATCATTATTAAGCTACAGCAACACATTAATATAAATTAATATTTAATGTGGGGCCCCCTTTAAAGTGGGGCCCTATGCAGTCGCTCACTTTGCTCATGCTAAACGTTGCAGGTATCATAAGAGGGTCATTAATAGTCATCCGATAAATCCTTTATTGGATATCAGTTCAGCTCCTTATGGCTCACCTGGATCTGTTTGTACCAAAAACAACAAGAATGAAAAAACCGAACACATATATGTTTCTGTTGCATAACTAATGATTGAATGAAAATTCAATCAACCCCCCACCAAGAAGATTTTCTTTCTCCTACATTATAGCTAGCTTCCACACTTTCGTTTTTAATTCTTTGTTTCATAATAAATATTAAATTCCACCACCAAATGGTCTTACATCAGCATACAACATGTGATGCGGAGCTTTTCAGTTTCCTCCCAAAGAATGGGGGAATGGGGGAAGGGAGACTGATTCACCAGAGCCATGACCATGCAAGTAGATCAAGTCACAGACACCTCAGCCAAAAAATGTTCGAAACGACACTATCATTTAGCCATTTAGCTGTTTTCATCACGTTTTCCTCCTTTTGTTGATTCAACGTTTAACACCTGCAAAATCAAATCATTTAGCCCATCAACATAGACAACCTCCTCTCTCACATTCTATCTTTGTCTGTTTGTGTGTCGCTGGGCCATGGATTTTTTTTTTTTTTTTTTTGGGGTCTGAACACATTTATATTGTTAATTTGGCATTTTTTTTCGATGTCTTCTACTTAAACAACATTTTCTTTGCATTGGGGTTCCTAAACCTATCTTTCTGGAATTCATGCGTATGGATGGCCCCACACTTCATTGTTTTTTTTATGCTAGTGTTCAAATTGTATTGGACTCTTCTTAAATCGGATGCACGTGAATGGTGATAGAATAGTGAGAACGCATATGCAAATAAAAGAACACTAAAATCTATGATTTCTTTGCACGGTGATGTTGATTGCTACCTAATTTGCATCAAAAGAATTAATATAACCATCCCATGTCACTTAAGTTATATATAAAAGAAATACAAAAATCACCAGAAAAGAAACAATTCCCCAAAATTTGATTAATTCAAGAAACAAAACACCAGCTGCAATTTTAGGCAGATGCAAGGGTTGCTTGTGATATGCATGTTCTAGCCAAGTCAAAATCAAGAGTAGATTGAAAAACACCTTTGGGAGCTTGTAGATCAAGTGATTGAAAGTATTTATTCATGCATTTGAAGTCTTATATTTGATTTCCCCAATAACGCTGGTGTTTTAAAAAAAACAAAAACAAACAAACAATCATAGATGTTCCAGCTCTGAAGAGATGTAAGGCATTTGACATAGAAGAATAACAGCTGGGTTGTCATATATTTAAGTAAAAGTATGGACATGACATCAATATAATATGTGCAAAGCTGAATTATAAAATAAATAAAAAAACAAAAATCAGCTTTGTGCATATTATATTTATGTCATGCATGTATCCTTAATACTGACAACTTTCATTTTGGTTGTAAGTTATTGAACTATAGAGCACATGCTGTTTTTGTTATTTTCGTATATTAGCTAATCAAATTTGAAGATAAGTCTCTGTCCGTCGACAGCATACTGTCGTATTCTTTTGTTTTTGTTTCGCCTGTATATGTATTTCCATGTTCTGTGTATCTATAAAATACTACCTGTGCAAAAATTCGTACACTTTTTTAGAAAACAAACTTTTTCTGGTCCTACTTGGTTTCGAGCTGTATTGATTGACTGTCCTCTGAATCCACCGAACGTGTTAATGATTCTTTATTAGGGCAAAACAAATATGGCGCACAGTTGACACCTTTAACTATTTGAAAGACTAAATATATACACATAATTTCACAAGCTTTACATATATGTCCTAGGATATCTTCTTACTCTTCTGCTCAAGAGTTCAACTTCTCTCTCTCTCTCTCTCTCTCTCTCTCTCCACCAATGGATGAGTGTCCGGATAAATCATCCTTGACCTTGCCTCTTATCCTTGATGAGGGACAACATGAGCCTGCAAGCAATAAGGTAGAACAAGTAGAGTCTAACTTTCATCATGAATCTACAGATACAACCTCTTTTCTCAAAACCTTTTTCAATGGACTCAATGCGCTGTCAGGTAATCCACTTCTTTCTCATAACAAGTTCTTTCTTTTTCCATATCAATTTTTGACAAGCTAGGTTAATAATTAATTAATTAAGGCATAAACTGTTATTATAGTTGGGTGTTCTTGCTTGGTATCTTTGACGAGAATTAGATAACCTGACTCAATGCGCTGTCAGGTTATCTAATTCTCGTCAAATTTTGTTGGGGTTTCTGTCT